CCTGAGATTCTGGGAAAACTTGTACCACCCTGACCATATTTTCCATTAGTAATAATGATAAGAGATAATTATTGAGCCTGCCTCTCAGATATTCCAGACACCTGCACCTCCACTTAATTAATTGCTAATTAAGATATGAAAGAACTGCAGTGTCTCTCACACATCCTGACTTTATTAAGTCTCAGCAAAGCTTCCTCAGGGAGAAAGAAACCTAAATTGCCAAGGCTGAGCCCTTCCTTTGGCTTAGAAACCAGAGGCGGAAGGGAGTGAGACGGAGAGGAAGCCTGACTCTGAGTGAGGGTCCTTGACATCATTCGGGTGGTATCTGAAGACCCTGAGAGGAAAGAATGAGGTGGAAAGAGAGAGGGGCTAACAAGTTCTGAGTGCCTACCTCCTGCCACACACACAGTGAAGCCTTTTACATCTATTATCTAATTAATCCTCATCGTGAGCCTGTAAGATATTATTATCCCCGTTTTACAGATTAGGAAAGGAGTGCTTGGAGGGATTAAGTACATGTCTTTTCCAAAAGTGTGGGGCTGGTAAGAGCTGGAATTTGTGCCAAATTCCATTTTCTATTCCATGGAGAGACAAGAAACAGCAACTCTTTCTTCTAAGTCTTCACCGTTGTTGATGAAGAGAAAAAGACATTTGTGGCAGGTAGACTTCAAGATGATCCCCAATTAACCCTTGCTTTCTGGTAGTCACACCCTTGGGTCATCTCCTCCCACATGAAATAGGGCCAACCTGTGTAACCAATAGGAAAATGCAGAACTCACGGGAAGGCCGGTCATAAAAGACCTTGTAGCTTCCACCTGACTCTTTCACATCGCTCACTCTGGAGGGAGGCAGCCATGTTGTGAGGACACTCAAGCAGCCCCCCAGAGGACCCCGTGAGGAGACCCCCTGCGACTCCCAGCATCACAAAAGTAAGCCCCCCCCTGGAATCAAACCCTGCAGCCCTAGAGGGTCTTCAGACAACTACAGGCCTCATCAACCTCTTAGCTGAAATGTCGTGAGAAACCCAGAGCCGGAACCACCCAGAAAAACCGCTTCTGAATTCCTGGCCCACAAAACCATGAGATAATAAATGTATATTGTTTTAAGTGGCTGAGTTTGAGGTAATTGGTTATGCAGCAATAGATAATGAATTGAGCATTCATGAACTTTCCACATCTTGCTGAATTGCAACGTCTTGCCAATACTAATGGGTCATAGAAACCCTAAGAAACATTTAAACTTGTATGCCTGAACACAGGAGCCCCAAACAATAGTCATTCAAGGTCTCTTCTGGTAGGGGCACTTGTGAGTTTAGGAGCCCAGTAGAGATCAGATCACCAATAGTTGCCTAAATTCCCCATTTTCTCATTAAGGTGACTAAAGACAATTTGTTGGCCATTTACTATCTGATCCATTTTCAGCAACTGAGCTCCTGGTCAACAGGGCCTCCCGGGCTGCACTCTGGACGGCCCAGAGCCTCAGATCTTGCCTGGGCCAGCAGTGGGCAGGGAGCCCACATGATCAAGTCCAAACCCAGCTGTTTGGGTTCCCGGACTCACATTCAGTAGACGAGGAAAGAAAATATAATGCACATTTTCCAGATGTATTCCATAGGAAAACGTTGTTGTTTCAATGATGAGATGTTATAAGTTGACCCTAGAAAATAGGTATGAAAGAAAGGTTGGGCACTACAAGGGCAAGTGCAGGTGAGCGAGCGAGTCGAGAGAATGGACAGAAAGAACACATCGATTTGCTGAAGTTGCTGGAGAGCTAGGTCACCACGCTCTTTGGTCTTGCAAACGCCTCTTGTGGTTCTGCCCCACGTCTCAGTCCCCCCACAAGTGTGTAGGCTTAAAGGATTGGGGAGCGTGTGCCCCACAGCTGACATTTATCTCTGTTAACGGGTTTGCCTCTGGAACTTGTCACCACGGGCATACGTGCCCACATTGTGACACACCAGCGTCAGTGTCTGTTATGATAACCCTTTGTCTTGTATGAAAAGCTCCTCTAAGAAAAGGCCTATGTGGGCTCTCCTCTCAGACCTGTCTGGCTTGCTAATCAAATTAAACGGGTCTGTTAGGGAGGCAGTACGTATTATATCACAAGTGCATTAGGTTCATCCTGAGCTTCCTGCTCACAGAGCCACTGTGGTCACAGCTTCAGGAGGGTCAGCACACACTTGCCTGAACTCAGTGTGGCCATTGGTCGGCCCGCAGTATGGAAGCTAGTTAAAAAACAACAACAAAAACAACAACAACAAAACTGGTGAAGGGGAAGAGAGCACAGGACTGGAACACAGACACCTCACGTTCCAGTTTTCATTCTCTAAATAACTCTGTTTGGTGCAGGCTTCCATCAGTGAACTCCCCCCCTCTGTAACTGCCAGTCCCACGTGGCTTTTCTTCATGGCATGAGCTCTGTGAGGGCAGAGGCTGTGTCATCTTTTTGTATCTCCAGTGCCTGGTTCAGGCCTGGGCACTCAGAAGGCTCTTAGTCAACCATTGCGCCCAATAACCAAAAAACTACGTGGGTTTATCCCTTATAGTCACATACGTGTATCTGTGGTCACATGAGTGTGGACAGAAGTACAAAAGGCTCCATTCCATGCTGTCCGCATGGGGTACAGGGTTGTGGGGACGGTGGAGGAAAGGGAGGAGGTGGAGAGAGGCAAGCAGTAGAGGAGAAACATAAGGAGACTGCACTACAAAAGCCTAGATGTATATTATGATCCTTTTAATATAAACCATGGGTATGTATACATAAGTTAGAGGAAAAATGATGATGTACTTAGGTTAATTCAGAACAAGCTGCAGACTATTTCAGTTAAAAACTGTACATGAAAACATCCCATATATCTGTGTACATATGCATTGGTGTAAACGAGCACAAGGTGGGGAGTGTGTATCATAGGGGTTGTGGGGTACCACCCAACTGAGACATTCAACCTCCAGCCACTGGGAGTGTTGGCTGCTGACAGCTCACAGCTAAGGCCCTTGCCAGGAGTCCCTTTAGCCACAGGGAGCTACTTTGCCCGAGGTTGTACCTGTCCCCTACCTGGGAGCAGCCCATATCTAAAGACAGGTGGGGTCCAAAGGCCTGTCCCTTTTCAAAGCAGGACAACTCCAGAGTTCCATCTGGCCTGTCCTTCCTCCCATCTCTCTTACAAGAGTGTACCCCCCTAAACCTTCGGTGTGTATATCCTGTCTCAGTCTGCTTCCTGGGGACTTGATGTGTGACAGTGTGAAAGGATATATACTCATCTATTAATACGTTACCTCAAGGGGCTGAGATTGGATGGAAGGGATAAGCTTTTTCTGTAAACATCTTATGTGAATTCCCTTTTTACAATGAGTGCTAATCACTTTTACAATTTCAAGAACATCAAATAAATTTAAAATGTAACGAACAAATATGTGAGTTGAATGAATGAGTGACCATGCCTATATCTAGTTGGGGAAATAATAATAAAACAGCACATCAAAGGTATCAACGTTGATAAACTAACCTGAAGGGGATTTTGCCAATACTTTTGATGGCTTTTGACCTAGTTGTTTCAAAAGAGATTGGACCAGCTTTCTAAGAGTGAGGATACCACCTCACAGATAAGATGACAAAATAAAGGTCAATGGATAGAAACAAAAAGGAAAGCGAGTTTTGATTCCATGGAAAGAGAGATTTTGTAATATCAGAGCTGTCTGCCAGTAAAACTGGCTACAAATTTTGGGGCAGCTGCTGTCCAGACGACACTGTCCGAAGACCTGTGGTTTTCTCGCTTCGGGAGCAGCCAGCTTCGAATTGGAGGAGGAAAATACCTGGTGTTGCTATCACCTCCGGCAGCTGCTCCCCAGTGATGCAGCCTCAGGGTCCTTCCCGACCCCGCTTTCCAGGCAGCCACTGCTGATATAGTGGAATATTCACCAGTGATGAAATCTACTCGCCTTTCCAGAACTCAATGATCTTCCCACTTCCTCCAGTCCTGAGGTTCCATCAGGTCCTCCCGGGAAGGCTGATTTATTCAGGAACAACTTAGATGAGCAAGCCTACACCTTAGCCAAAGGCTTGCTCCCTCCTCCAGCCGGTGCTACTTGATTCTGGCAAACACATCCTCGCTAGGCGCCTCTAAATGAGATCCCGGAGGCTTGGAGTCCCCTTTGGAGAAGGCTCAGCAGGGTTTGTGGGAAGCAAGCCCTCAAAGGCGTAATCATCCTACTGTGGACTATGCCCATGGTCCCCGGAGCTGTGTCGGTGCGCCCGTTGCCATTTCTGCACAGGGGCCCTGTTAAGGAGCCCGACAACGTGCTGACACAGAAGACCCCCTGTAACAGACGTCACTGCTCCTGTATGCAGGTGGTGGTTCCAACCCGAGAGAATTGCTCTTTGTTATGCAGCATTTACTCAGGGAGGATTTATTGAGCTTTTTTTGTGCGGGCATTATGCTTGGGACCAGAGCTAAGGTGGTGAGTGGGGAGAGAGAATCTGCCCTTGAGGCGTGAAGAGTCCAGCGTGAGAACAACACAAAGGGAGAGCTTTACAATAAATGGTGACTTTTATGACAGAGAAAGCCACAGACGTGAAGGACGTACGAGGGACTCAGGTCTGAGGGGGATGAGTGGCTTCCTGGAAGGGAGTGTCAAGCATTTGTCATACTCAGGTCATCTAAGCACATAACTATAGCCACCTTTAAAGATCTCAGAATAGATTTGCTACATAAAACACCTTTCGGGATTTATAATCAGTCTGTAGAATTTTTACCTTAAGTATTGACCACTTTATTGCCAAACTATTAGAATGAATAATAGAAAATTAATGAAACAAATAGAACTCCCTGGAGAGAAAAATAAATAACAATAGAGGTTTGTTTGTTTTTTTGCTTTAGAAATCTACATGGTGTACCTCCAAGTGTATTGAAAAGAAGGCGTGGCAGTTGGGATGGCAGGGAAGCCAAGATTCCTTGTTCTGAAAGCATAAATGGATTTCTTCCCTCCCTCTTCCTGCTTCAGGTGGCCGTGTCATCGTAACTGCACAGAGGCCGGGTCCCTTTGGGCATTAGGATTACAGAACGTGCGGGAAAGAGAGACCATCGAAGGCGCCATCACTGAAGGTACCGTTTCCTATGAACCTTTTGTTATTCCTCTTTGCAGGGGCCGGTTTGAGGCTCTTACTAGTGACTGTACATCCCCAGGGACTTGAGGCTCTTTGTCACGGCAGCAACGGCCTGGGGGACAGTCCCCCTGAAACGAGGTGCTCAACAGTGTGAGCTCCCTGGGTTTCACACGGTCTCGGAAAAAGCTGGAGAAACTGGGCACCCCGGTTTGGGAGTCTCATTAAATATTCCTGAAATGCATTTCATGATGTGGTTAGTAATAAAAGTGTATTACTGCTCTCAGCCCCTCCAAGAGGCTACACTTGATTCCAGCCCAAACGGCCTGCGCTGGGCCTGCATGAATCAGTTGCTAAATTATTCACCAGCCTGACTAGGAAATTTCTGGAGTTCCAAACCTCTCATAAAGCATTATGAAAAAATATCCATCTTTTTATCTCTATCCATAACTATTTATATGGCCAGAGGAAGAAAACCTGTCGTTTTATTTCTTTTCACGTAGAAGCTTTCCTAATTCTGTTTCCACCCCACATATACATGTCTAAATAATTTTCAGGTTGAAATAATAACCTCTAAAAAAATGGTCCGTGGGAAAAGGCTAGCAGGATTCACAGAACTGACAGGCGCAGTGGCTATTGAGCTCCCTTAATAACTTTCCCTGGCGCTCAAATTTGACGTGCCGAATTGGACTTTTCAAACAGGGGAGGCCCTTTTTTACTGTACAGAGCAATGATAATATACCCACTAGCCTTCTCTCTATATTTGCTTCTACGGTTGCTAGAGTTTGTTCATGAAAAAACTCAGTTCCTTCCTCAGAGGCACCATGCACTCATTATCTAAACACTGTAGAGAGAAAGGACAGGTCTGTTACAAAGCCCCATGTTTGACTCAGTCCAGAATATCCTCAGTGCCATCCTGCCTCACTTGGGGACATTTGACTACAGAGTACCCCGGGCCATTGCAAACACCTCTGAATGTACAAACTCACAAGAGACATCGGTACATTGAGCTGGCTATCAGCCATTCCCATTTAAGAGTGAATTGGTTAATTTGGTGTTTCTAGGCTAACAGCTAGTTGAGATTAAGTTTTCTGGGACCAAGCAGAGCTGGAATGGAGTGGACCATCTGGGCAGCAACGAGGGGTGGTTGTCACATGAGCATCCCTGGAAATGTATTAAGATGGAGACATTTTTACCTATCAGCACTCTTCTCAGAGAATGTACTTGAGTAGCTGAAAGAATAGTTGACAAACCACTTGCATTGAAAGATTAAGGTACCCCCACACACACAGAAAAGAAACTTACTTAAATAAAAGTAGTGGCCTCTAAACTGACTTCTGAATAAGGTGGGTTCAGTGAGGGTATCAAATCCAGGATGCCGCCATCTTCCTCTAAGTCAATGTTGGATAATTACTTAAAGGATATTGGTTTAAATGGGAGACAAATTATTAGCTTAACTAGAACACCCACATATTTTCATCCATCCCTGGTATTGGAGACTTTTGGTGGAGTTGGAAGGACCCCACTAGGAGATCTGAGAAGCCTGTGTACAGCGGATAGGCAGTGGGCAAGGGGTGACTAGTGAAGAGAAGTGTCGCGTCTGTTCTCGATCGCATCTTCCCCTGCCCCTGACCTTCCTGTGGGGTCACTCTGCAGGCTGACCCAGAGAACACTCGCGAAAGGCAAGGCTGAGCCTGCTGTTTAAAGCAGAGCTTGGGATGCTCCCTGTGATACTGGGATGCCTAATGAGAAATGCGTATTTGGTTTTCATCCCAGCTTCTGACACAGAGCTCCTAAAACCCTTGGCATTTCTTAAGTGTGATAAGAGAGATAAAGGTGTCTTGATATTCATAACAAACACCTTTTGACCACACCTTATGTTAATGAGGTGATTTTTTTTTGGAAATCCCCTAAGGATCCAAACATGGGATTAAAGGGTTGGAACTTTCAGTCCCAGCCCTGATCTACCAGGATGAGGGGCTGGGGGTTGAGTTCAACCACCAATGGCCAATGATTTCACCAGCCATGCCTGTGCCATAAAGCCTCCATAGAAACCCGGAAGGACAGGGTTCAAAGAGCTTCCAGGTTGGGAACCAGTACACTTCTGGCCTCAAACTCCCCGAGGACAGAGGCTCCTTTGTTGGGGACCTTATGAACCTTCATCTGGCTGTTGATTCATATCATTCATATTCATATTCGTATTCATATGCCAATATCCTTCGTAGTAAACCAGTAATCTAGGGAGCAAATGCATCTCCTGAGTTCTGTGAGCTGCTCACAGAATCCAACCCAAGCAGGAAGTTGCGGGAACTTCCAATCAGTAGCCAGTTAGCCAGAAGCCCAGGTGACTTCTTGGACTTGCGATTAGCATCTGAAGTCGAGGGCAGTCTCTGGCACTGAGCCCTCAACGGTGGAATCTGAGTGCTCTCTTTGGGTAGAGAGTGTCAGAACTGAGCTGAATGGGGGGCACCCAGCGGGCGTCAGAAAATTGCTTCATGTGGGGAAAAAAATCCCACATCTGAATTGGTGTCAGAATCAGAACCAGAATCCCAAAGCCCATCAGAGCCCTGAACACACCAGGGTGAAGCTCCGTTTCAGTCTAGGGCTGGCAGAAGTTCCTGAACTCAGAGAGCACCAAACCAAAGCGAGATGTGACCGGCCTCCCTGGAAGCCAGCTCACAACTGCCTGTGGGTCCACACAGGGGTGGCGGGCCGTGCTGGCCTCCTGAGGCCGGTCTTCTCAGAAGCCTATGGGAGGCGGAAGCAGTTCTCAGAGGTACCAGCAGCTCTGTTGATGAAATCTGAAAGCCATTCCTGGCACGGAGGCCAGTCCACCTTTCTCTGCCAGCCTTGCCACATGTGCACGGCTGACCTCACAGGAGAGCATGGGTGGTCCAGAACAGCCCTGTCCCCTTGTACTTACAAATAGCTGTTCACCAGCTTGGTTTGCTGTTGGAATTGCACAAGTTACAAGTATGAAGACCTTCAGCTGCCTTCTGGTCCTTTAGCAATTCAAACAGAGGGGCATTCACCAGGCTGGTGTGAACTGCTTCGCCCAGCCTCCTGCTACCCCTACCTGTCTTCCCCGAGCATTTAAAAAGCAGCTTATTTTAAAAACTGATTAGATGAGACCTTAATAACATTAGAATTTAAATGGCCCCAGATAGGCTTTCAACTTCTTGCCAAATTGAGATAAATGTTATATTTGGGGAGCTGAGCTCCCAGCTTTAAGGCTGCTCTGGACAGCAGACAGGTTTTGAAGCGCTGTGTGTGTGACATGCCCGTTGAGTCAGCTCCGACTCCTTGGCAATTCTAAGAATGAGTGACGTTCACAGCGCCCTGTTCTCAGCAGCCCTGCTCAGCTCCTATAGACTCATGCCTATGGCTTCTTTGATGGAGTCAGTCCATTTCAGATTTGGTCCTTCTGTGTCCCTGCTGCTTTCCATTTCATTTCCCCCAGCATTATTGTCTTTTGCAAAGAACCCTGCCTTCTCCTGATGTGCGTCAAGTAAGGCAGCTTCAGTTTCGTCACTTTTGCCTCCAGCGATGCCTCAGGCTTCATTTGCCGTAGGACCCACTTGTGCGTCCTTCTGGTGGTCCCGGCTAACGGTAGCGCTCTCCTCCAACACCGTATTTCACATGAAGCCACTTTTTTTCCTGTCGGCCTTCTTCACTGTCCAACTTTCACATCTCCACATAGTCATTGGGAATATGAGGGCGTGGATGCTCTAAGCCTTGATCTCCAATGACACCTCTGCCCTCGGTGATCTTTCCTAAGCCTTCTGTTGCTGCCCTTTGAGTCTCAGCCTTCTCTTGATTTCTTGGCTGCAGTCTCCATTTGAATTGATGACTGAACCAAGGGAAGCGAAATCTGTAACAATGTCAGTTGTCTTCATTATCTGTGCTCAAGTTGTATATTTCCCCTGTAGTCATGGTTTTGTCTTCTTGATATTCAGATGCAGCCCTGCTTGGTCACTTCGTTCTCTCACTTTCATCAGAAGTCGTTTCAAATCAGTGCTACTTTCTGCCACTACAATGGTGTCACTTGCATATCTTAAGTTATCAACATTTCTTCTACCAGTTTGCACGCCTCCTTCCCCTGAGCCCAGCCCAGTTTTTCATGATATGTTCTGCATACAGATTAAACAAATAAGGAGATGAAAATGCATGCTGGTCTGACACAGTTGCTTATAGGAAACTACCTTCACTCATGTTTTTCTGCAGCCTGAAACCGGGTTTGTGTGTGTGTGGAAGGTCTCTTTCATCTCTCAAGTCTAGTATTGTGTATGTAGATGTGTCTTGCATGTTCAAAGAAAGGTACGTTGAGGCCATAGGGCACAGGATAGAGTTATAACTTATGTGTGATAATCTATGGGAAAAATCTCTATACTCCCACACTCTCTGAGAACTTCCAGTTCCCGGCAGAAAACCTTTATCGAGCAACTACTATTCAGTCATTTAATTAAATATTAATGCTGTTAATACCTGACTTTTGCTGAGAATAATACAAAATGGTCAGAAGTATGAATGTTTCATCTTGGTTAATATGTTTAGCTCCCTCTGTAACTCTTCTAGGTGGGTTCAGTGTCAGGAAGGGAAAATGCATTTATCAAGCTATAGAAGTATGACTGCCTTCCAGTTTTACACTCTTCTGTAAGTTTTATAAATGTTAAAAAACAGAGTAGGAGGGGGTGGAGTGGGAAAGCAACAAAAGGTGAGCACAAATGATGGCTTCAATATTGAGGTAAAAGTATTTTTACAAATAAATAAAGAAAACCTGTTATCTTTTCTTCCCCATCTTTCCCCAACTAAACTAGACGCCTGGGAATCCTTAGAATTAAATCCTGAGATTCTTAAAAACATGGCTTGTCCTTTTGATGTGGTGGTCATTGCTGAAGTGCCCCTGAATTTAAGCTTCCCTTTAGAACCTCACCAAATAATAGCCGCTTTTAGAACCTTTCAGAAGAAGCTAAACCTTGAGCTTAAACCTTGTACTTGCAT